TTCCAGACAAGAGACACCGAGCCAGGCAATCTCAACTGCCACTTGTGCAAGCTGTGCGAGCAAGACACTTCAACAGGACTCCAGGATGAGGGCTCCTTTCCCTTCCCACATCTCCTTAATTATCTGTGCCACAAGACAAAAGAGTGAAATGCTGGGCCAGGCAGCACCGGGCAGGCTGGAATGCCTGGTGATAGATTCGTGGCGGAGCCAGACGGCCCAGGGTAAAAAGGTACACAGTGGCCTTTTCCACCGCCCAGGCCTCTGTTGCTCCTGTGAAGAAGGTAGGCTCTCAGGCCCTGGTTTGCTCAAGGGGGCCAAATTCCTGACCCCAGTTTGCCTTTCAATAAATGTCCCCCGGCCCCTTTTTCTTGGGAGTAGGAGTAGGTTCTGACCTGCCTGGCTTCCTACGCCGAACACACCTTTGAAATTAGAGGCAGTGAGAGCCAGGCAACACTGTTCCCCAATCTCCAATGCGCAGTCTCCTGAAAGAGGTGAGTCGGGGAGTTCAGGTGACCAAACACACCAGCTTAGGGTACGAGCTTGGCTTTCTTCTGGGGAACCTCTTCCCTTCAGAGCAAGCCCTCGGGCGGGCTCCTGTCCACCCTAACCTGGTAGGTCACACTTAAGGATGACTGAGTTTGTGTTGCAATGCCATCTGGAAGGATCTACCGGGTGCAGGCACCCCTCCTGGGCTCCGCTCCTCCTTCCTTCCTGGTCCCCCGTCTTCATCCTCTCTCGCCTCCACCTCCTTCTGCTAGTAGGAGCCTCTCACCAGTTCTCTCGCTCTCCCTCCCTCCCTCCTCTTCCCCAGCCCCGCTCCTCCTTCCTCCTGCGACCCCGCCCCCTCCCCCCTCTGCCGGGCTCCTTCGCGGTCGGCGGGGCGGCGGTGCGCAGGCGCGGAGCCGAGTCCCGCTGGGCCGCAGCCGGTGGCCGGCTCGCAGTGGGCCTGTACCCGGCCCTTCACGCTCGGTTCCCCCTCGCTCTGTGGAGACTGGAGGACGTACCAGATCCCACGGAACTGTGGCGGCAGGATGGCGCAGACCGCCATGTCCGAGACTTACGGTAAATCCCGCGGGTTCGCGCTTATGTGTGTAGGGGGGGGGCAGGCCTTGGGGTCCCGAAATGTTTGTGGCTGGGGTTAGGGTCTCCAGAGCCGGTGTTTAGAATATCGAGATGTTGGGGCTGGACTGGGATCCTGAGAACCTCGTGGTGTCAGAGGCTGGCTGGAGATACTGAGAATCTTGGGGTGTTTAGGGCTGGGCTGGGATCCTAGTAATCGTGGAGTGCCAGTAGCTGGGATTCTGAGAATCTAGGTTTCAGGGCTAGGTGGAGATACTGAAAATCCCGGGGTGTCAACTGCTGGGATCCTGAGATTCTTGGGGTGTCAAGGTCGGGCTAGAACTTGAGAGCGCCTGGATGTTTAAGGCTGGGCTGGAATCTTGAGGATCTAGGGGTATCAGGAGCTGGGTTGGACTCTCCGGCCAGCAGGTGCCCCCAACTGTGCAGAGCATTGTGATCCTCTCCTCCAAGTTCCCTCCTGCTTTGACCCTGGGTTCACCCTACATTCTCCTCCTTGGATTATTTAAATAGCTCAAGGTTGGGGGAGCCAGTTTATCATTGATTCTCCCCCTCCCCGCTGCAGCACGGAGCGCAGGGGTGGGGGCTCAGGGCCACGCCTGCATTCAGTGTCTTTGGGGGCATGGCTGTGGGCCTCTCAAGGCTTGGAATTCCTTTCTTTGCATTGAGATTATAATGAGTTTTAAATGGATGACTGCATCTCTTTTCGGAAGCCCCTGGCCTCCCGTATCTTTCCCTCCCTCCCTCCACCCTGTTATAGGTCGCTTTATAGCTCTTTATAAACACACATCCTCTTTATGACCATAAGCCTTGGAGATGGAGCTGTGTCTTTTTCATCTTTGTCCCAGTCGTTTCCAATGCATGCGCTGGGTGCTCCCCCCCCCCCCAAATCCCCAATCGAGGTAAGAATAAACTGGTTACAATGCATGGTTACCAGTCCCTACCTGAGGCTTGAGACTTTGATTTGGTATGTGCTGGTTCCAGGGAGGGACTCCCATAGAAAAGCATGGTGATCAGTCCGGGTTATCCCGATGTGCCCCCTGATTCCTTCCTGCCACAGGGCGGGGCCAGGGGCCAGTCAGGAAGGTTCTAATCATTGTGAAAAAGTGCTGTGGAAACTTCCCCAAGAGTTTTCAGTCCAGTGAGGAACAGATGGTTAATTCGGTTGTGACCTTAATGGATCAACAATTAAAATCCAGGCAGCAGTTCTGAGGAGTATGGTCTGGCCAACTGTGTGAAAAGAGCTGACCTGGATGGGTCAGAGAGGGGCAAGTGGACAGGCAGATCTGGGGTTCAGGTCTGGAGCATGGTGTGGGCCCCTTAACTTGAGGAGATCGAGGAGGCAGTTGAAGAACCTTAAGGTTTGGACTTTGAGAGGGCGGGACCCTGGGAAGGGTAATATAGGCTCACAGCTGCCTGGTTCACTGTCTCCTGGCACCAGCACTCCTGGGGCACTGAGGCATAATGTCTGACCCCATAAACTTCAGGCACCATCCATGGGTGGCTGGCTTTGTCCGGGCCACAGGTGTGTTTGTCTTTCCCTTCATTTCAAGGTATTTTCCAAATATGCCTTTATTTTTTTTTTTTTTTTTTTTTTTTTTTTTTGGTTTTTCGAGACAGGGTTTCTCTGTGTAGCCCAAATATGCCTTTATTTTTTAGTCTTTGTTTGTTTTGACACAGATTCTCTCTCTCTAGATGTGGATGACTTAGAAATCAGTGTAGCCTTGAGCCGGGCGGTGGTGGTGCATGCCTTTAATCCCAGCACTCAGGAGGCAGAGGCAGGTGGATCTCTATGAGTTCGAGGCCAGCCTGGGCTACCAAGTGAGTTCCAGGAAAGGCACAAAGTTACACAAAGAAACCCTGTCTCGGGGGAAAAAAAAATTCAGTGTAGACCAGGCTGGCCTCACACTTGTGGCAATATCCCTGCCTCTGCCTCCTGAGTGCTAGGATTATAGACATGTGTCCCCATGTCCAGGTTTCTACTTTTTAGCTAAGTCTGAATGTAATCTTTCCTTTCAAGGGGGAAAACAAACAAACAATGAATAGAAACTAAAAAGTAGAAGTCTAGCTTTAGAAAGAGGCAAGCGAGGTCTCTGGAGCTGCCGGCATAGAAGAAGAGTCACCTAAAACCGAGGCAGAGGCTGTCACCTTCACTCATCCTTGACTGTGTTTATACAGTTTTGTTCCCCAAATTAAAACAACCAAGACCTCTCCTTCCGGACGTTTGCCTGTTGGCTGGCATGGGAATGTTTGCCTAACCTTTAAGTTCCGTGTGTTCGGGGCTGGTTTTCTCTCTTCTGCGAAAGGAGGTTCTGTGCAGCTTGGTGGAAATTCGATGAAAAATAGGAGCCCATGTTTTACGGCTACTGATGAGCTGACTACTAATGGCCTGTAGAACAGTCCCTGCACCTTGCACTGGCTGAGTGGTGGCCAGCATTTTCTTGATCTGAGGCCCCTAACTCTGTGAACCTGTGCTTTAGATCACATAAGATCATAATGTAAATTGGAATGTTAAACAGGTAGGCTTCTCATTGAAATGCGGTTGACCTGGTCCACTTGATTAAACTGAGGCACTAGGATATTAGTAAACACACCTGTGGGTGAGTCTGTGGTGGCTTTCTAGGCATGATTAGATCCTGAAGACTCCAAACTAATCAATGAATTAATCCTTTGATATATTCCTGATCTGCTGTTATTATGGCCCGTGATCCAAGGTTGGAGGTAGGACATGACTGGAGGAAACTGGGGGAATGTCCTTGGAACTCTGTCTTCCCCCTGCCTCTTCTTGTAGTCCCTTCTCTCTGCTTCCTGGCCTTTGCTGATGTGAACTGTCCCAACACATATTCCCAGCTACGATGGGCTGACTCCTGGGAAACTGAGCCAAACAAATCCTTCCCCCCTTCCCTTCTCTCAGGCATTTTGGTCCCAGCTAACAAAAGTAACACTGACCCTCAACCTGAGTGTCCCTAACCAGAAGGGAGCTTGTCCTAGTGATTGTTAGAGACACAGCATCCTATGACTGTGTTCAGTGAGCGCTAGCTGGGCCAAGGACTCAGCCTGAGACCTGAGAGTTTGAAAACTCTCCTTAAGTAATTCCTGACACCAAATGGTCAGTCACAGAAATTGCTAAGCAGTGTATATGGTGGGAAAATGCCAGGGAGCTTCTAAAACTTCAGTTGCTAGAGAAGAATGGCATGGAGGAAGAATTTATGCCATGTACTATTTGAAAATCTCCTGAGACAGAAAAATTCTGCTCATGTTGCTGGCCTCGTGGTTGTTTCTATCATAGTATATTCAGTATAGTATATTCCACTTAGAAAATAACGCACAGCATTCCAGTGTCTAAAAGATAAGGTTGAGATCATCAGAGTATTTTCTGCTAACTATACATCCTCATTTGTGTATGTGAGGTTGGAATTGTGTCCTCAAAGTCACACTTAAGTCCTAGTTCTGGACCTGTGCATGTGACCTTATTTGGAATAGGATCTTTGCCAATGATTATTGAAGGTGGAGTCATGCTGGAGTCGTATGCCCCAAACTCAGTGACTGTGTCCTAAAGAGACCACAGAAACATGGACACAAACATACACAAGGAGAGTGGGCCGTGACAGTGAGCCTCAGGTTAGAGAGGTCCAGTACCCAGCCAAGGCACCCCCAGCGGAGCTGGCATCCACCAGAAACTAGGAAGAGGCAGGAAGCACCCGTTCCTGAGCCTGCAGGAGCTCAGCACTGCCACACCTCACCGCAGCCTCTGGCTCTGACAGCAGATACCTGTCACATTAAGCCACTGGACGTGAGGAACTTTGAGGTCAAAGCGTCCGAAGCTATCTCACAGGTCTTAGTTGTTATACAATGAGTCTTGAAGAAATGCAGGCTTGATAAGGCAATTAGGATTGACAAGGATATCTCAAATAAAAAAAGCAACATTTTTAAAGCCCTTTCATTCATAAAGGAAAATTAATTTCCTGTTAGGAGAATCCCCTGAATCCCCATTGCCTTAACTCACAGTTGACAAAAAATTTAAACAGTTCAAGTAGACATCAGAAAAAAGAACATTTGTTTGATTCAGTACATTTTTGATCGACAAAGTCGTAGTTTTCTTTTTCTTATTCACTGAAAACTTACTGGTAGGCATTTCAAGAAGCAAGGTCTGGGCCTGGGGTGGGGCATGT